CCCTTGGACTTTGTAGGGGGTGTCTGATTGGATGAGCTCATGCAGTGGGGTAACTAGAAGATCAGCCGGTGGCCTGGGCCCTGGTAGCCATGGATATGGTTCTCTCTCGAAATCTGGATGCTGGATGAGAAAAGACAGAGTTCAGGGCACTGGTTGGAGTCATGTGACTCACAACCTCCTCTCCCTGTCTTCCAAGAAAGAGCTACAACTCTCTTTACTCAAGTGTAGGAAACTGCCCAAAGGTCCTTCCCCAGTTTATTCACTCATTTCATAAACAATGTATTCAGCACCTACTCTGTGCCAGTGCCGTTCTAAGTGCTGGGAATTCAGGAATTAACAAGACTGACAGGGTCACTGTAAACTCATGGAGCAGACAATAAGCAAGTAAAGAATTAAATAGAGTTGGTAATTTCAGATAAGTGCTATAAGAAATAAAAGAAAAACAGGATGATGCAGTAAAGAGTATTGGGATGAGGTTAATTGAGATCTGAAAGGGATGAAGTGGGAGTATTCGGGCAGAGACCCTAATGAAAAGAGCAGCCAGGGTAAAATTTGGGTGCTGGGGGTTCCAAGCAGAGAAAGCAGCAGCTGTGCAAAGACCCCAGGGTTAAGGTGAGTCTAAAGAACGGAAAATTCTCTTGATGTAGAACTCCACTGGAGACCACGGGCTGTACAGAGGTGGAGCCCACACAGCAACTCCCTAGGCTCAGTGCCAGGGCTGCCCAGGCCCCAGGAAGCGCTGGCTCTGCAGAGTTACAGGAGCCCAGTTCTGGCCTTTCTCCAAGATCCAAGACAGCGCCTCCTCACCTATCACTACCTGTTCCTCCTCACCTATTACTACTACTAATTAGCACCAAGGAATCCCGCAGCTTCCCTCTAGCTGGATCTGTGCTCAGAAGAATAGATCTATGTCAGCCAAGAATTTGTTTTTTGAGGTATACATGAAATAGTGCAAGACTCCGTATAATTGTCAACTGAAAGCTACAACCATAAATGCTATCAAATGCTTCACAGAGAGCTGGACCTCTGAATTGGAATAGACTGAGGATGCTCTGAAGAGAACAGCCTTAAGCTTGACCTAGGGAGATGAGAGAGAACATTTGGAGTGGGAAAAGAGGAAAACTCTGAGCTAGGTATGACCACAAAATGAGTAAGGCACATTGAGAGGCTATGAGCAGTCAATTCTGTCAGTGTAAAGTTCGCATAGAGGAAGAGTAGGAGATTCATCTGGAAAAGTGGGGTGAAGCCAGATGGCGAAGGGCCCTAAATGAAGTCCAAGGAGTTTGGATTTTATCCCATGTGAAAAAGAAGACAGTGAGTGTTGAATGTCTTGGGTGATATAAAGATTGCAGGCAGCCCCAAAATATGCCACTTTGGCCCATCGATTATTTTGAATTAAAATTACTTAAGAAACAGCAGATATAAGAAGGACATTCAGGGACTTCCCTGGTGGCACAGTGGTTAGGAATCCACCTGCCAATGCAGGGGACACGGGTTCGAGCCCCGGTCCAGGAAGATCCCACATGCCGCAGAGCGGCTGGGCCCGTGAGCCATGGCCGCTGAGCCTGTGCGTCCGGAGCCTGTGCTCCGCAACGGGAGAGGCCGCAACAGTGAGAGGCCCGCGTACCGCAAAAAAAAAAAAAAAAAAAAAGAAAGGCAAAAAAAGATCTGTTCTTCTAAACTTAAACCACTAGATCCAAGTAAATCTGCTTTGAAACCCATTGGCCTGAATGCAGAGAGGAGCGAGGCAACCTTCCTTCTTTGCCACTGATTACTGCACAGCTGTAGAATTGCGTGGGCTCAAGGCGGCCACCGAAAATAAATTCCTAAGCCCCAGTGTGCAACAAGAGAGGAGTCCATACCCAGGAGAGAGAGGAGGCCGTGGACCCCAGCAGGACAACACTTGGTCAAAACAGTGTTCAGTGGTGACCACCACGCCCTGGATCAATCTCACTCCCAGCAGTGGGAGATACAAGAAGAGCCTTCTCATGGCCACTATAGCAGTAAATGTATGTAGTGCAGAAGCCCAAAATATGAAGAGAAACAGCAGGTAGAGGGATGGTTAGGGATTTGGCAAAGTAGAAGCAGAATCCTGAGAAGCTCAGAATACAAACACGAGATGCCGTGGAAGTCTGGGAGGTGCAGGGGATGTGAGTGAATAAAGAGGTGAACAACTGAGTCTACATATGGAGCAATTAGATCCATGGTGCCTATCCACCCCACCCTCATAGGAGAAAGGGAGTTGTATCTTTTCTGGAGAAGTCAGAGAGGGGATGGTATGTGTGAAGAGATAGAGGGGCAAACAGACTTGCAGGAGACTGAGTCGAAGTCTGAATATTAATGTGAAAACATCCCTCCCCAGACTCTTTCCCCTTCTAGAGCTATTTGACTTTTAAAAGAATAAATGCAGACAAAAATACAAATTAATTCCTTAAAAAACATATTTTGCGAAACGCTGAATCATAATGAAATAAAGTAACCATAAGCAGATGTAAACTATTATATATAGGATGGATAAACAGCAAGGTTCGGGCTTCCCTGGTGGCGCAGTGGTTGAGAGTCCGCCTGCCGATGCAGGGGACGCGGGTTCGTGGCCCGGTCCAGGAAGATCCCACATGCCGCGGAGCGGCTGGGCCCGTGAGTCATGGCCGCTGAGCCTGCGCGTCCGGAGCCTGTGCTCCACAACAGGAGAGGCCCGCATACCGCAAAAAAAAAAAAAAAAAAAAAAACAGCAAGGTCCTACTGTAGAGCACAGGGAACTATATTCAATATCCTGTGATAAACCATAATGGAAAAAATATGAAAAAAAAGAATGTCTATATGTGTATAACTGAGTCATTTGCTGCTGTAGAGCAGAGACTGGCCCAATGTCGTAAATCAACTATACTTCAATTTAAAAAATGAAGGAAAGAAAGAAAGAAATAGGGAAGAAAAAGGCCGTGAAAATAAACATTGAGCTGGTCTGCTGGCTCGGGCCCCTGCACACCTTCACCCCTCTCTCACACACGCACCTACCTAAAGAAATTGTAGGAGAGGCAAAAGTTTACCTCCACCCTCTTAGGATCTTCACTGGGCCTGAGAATTAAATAAAGATAAATAAACTGGAGGGAAGCATACACATTTATTTAGCATACGATTTACATGACACAGAACCCCTCAAAAGGAAATGAAGACCCAAAGAAGTGGCAAGATCTAGATGCTTTTATACGAGGTTGAATTAGGGGTAATTGTGGCAAAATAACTAAATTACGCGGAGAGGCTAAAGGAAGATAAGAATTATTTGAACAAGGTCTATTTGTACGAATTTTCTCAGTCTCAATTTCCAGGCTTGATGACAGGTAGGCTACTTTCCTTCTGGTATGGGAAAGACATCTTCCATATGAGGGTTTTATCCCCTGCTTTTAGAAAGAAAAAGCGGAGGGAGGATCAGAGTATCCTTCTTGTACCTGCTGGTTTTTAAAGTGCCTTTAGCTCAAAATAATGTTGATATCAATTTTAAGGCATATTTTAGGGTGACATATCTGGCCAACTTCAAAATCATGCTTAACATTCGAGGTAAACCAAGAACACGTAAATGAATATAGCGTCCTCGGCGCCTCCGTCTCTTGCCCCTTTAACAGCAGTTTTCATTCAGTTTCTGTGTCACTGAGGGAACTGGGCGGTGTGCCTGTGGTAGGTTTGGGTTTCAATTCTCTGAGCCCCAGGAGGTGGAGAACGGTTAAGGAAGTATGAATTTTTAGAAGCAGGGAGATGTGATGCTTTGCATGCAAATTTAGTTGGCTCCGTTTTCCTGGGCTGTGGTTCCTGGTGAAACTATTAGCAAATCTTTGTTCAGAAGTGATTTCCATTACTTTTAAGTAAATATAATTCAAAAACTAAACAAAAATAAATGTTTACATTTGAGTGAAAGAGAAAGGGGAAATTTTATTTACAGCAAAATAGGACTGCAGTTGCTTTCAAATAAGAGGGAGGCGTAATTCATGTGCATTTGCAGAGGATGAGGGTGGGGAGCTGCTCCTTTTACAGAAAATCCCTAGAGGGAATCTTTGGATGTGAAAGGACTCCCCTCCATCCCCACTCCATCCAGGACTGGGTCTGGAAGCAGTGAATAATACAAAAAGGAGGCTAAGTAAATGAATTGAACTTGGAGTATCTGTAGGTAGACCAGAAAGGGAGGCGGCTTGGAGAGATGGGAGGAGAAGAAAAAGAGTGAGGGCAACAGCTCAGGAACTGTGAAAGAGCAGAACTTGAGGAAGAGACAGGTAGCGAGAAATTCCTGGAGACCTGGAGAGGTTGGGGGGACTTTTAAGTGGTTCCCTGCCCTTCACTGCGCCGTTAACACCCTCCATTACTCATTTCTCCCAAAAGTTCAGAAAAAGATTTATACAAGCAGCAGGATATTGTTTTGAAACCTTACCCATTGTGGCTCCATTTCCAGCACTTCCTTCTTTCTGACCTTCCTCCTCCCACATCCCCACATTCTCAGCTCCAGCATTACACAAAGAGAAGGATGTCGGAGCAGAGCAAAGGGGTCAGATTCTTGGCTTTTGGTGTTTAAAATCTTAGGATTCCAGGCATAAATTATAGATTTTAAATAACATGTAATTAGTCAAATTCTATTCCTTCTGCCCCTACTCCCACTTCGAGATTTTCCCTATTCTCTGGACTAGGGAAAGGGAAAGTCAGAGAGAAGAGAAATGAAACTTTTCTTTAGTGCCTTTGTAAAGCAGCTCTGGACTTCCCTGGTGACTCAGTGGTTAAGAATCCTCCTGCCAATGCAGAGGATACAGGTTCGAGCCCTGGTCCGGGAAGATCCCACATGCTGCGGAGCAAATAAGCCTGTGCACCACAACTACTGAGACTACGCTCTAGAGCCCACGTGCCACAGCTACTGAGACCACATGCTGCAACTACCGAAGGGTGTGCGCGTAGAGCCCGTGCTCCACAAGAGAAGCCACCGCAATGAAAAGCCCACACACCGCAATGAAGAGTAGCCCCTGCTCGCCGCAACTAAAGAAAGCCCACGCGCAGCAATGAAGACGCAATGCAGCTAAAAATAAATAAATATTTTAAAAAAGAAAAGAAAAACATCTCTGCTCCCTGTTCCCAGACCAGCTCTGGAGAAGAGCCCCGCAGAGCTTGGGGATTGGGAGCAAAGCGAACCAGTGCCTTGCTTTCAAGATGGGCACCCTCTTAGAGGTCCTCTGCACCCCCAGGGTGTGGGTAGAGATGTCTATGTGACACATCAAGGATGCCAAGCCTAAGGCAGCCTCACTGAATCCTGGGACTCCTCGCTGCAGGACTCAGCAGAATTATCTTCCTCACTGGCCAAGAGTAGCAAAGATGTGGCACCGACAAGCAGCAGACCTGGAAGCTTTGCAGTCAGGGCAAGGAGATCTCACCAGCTTTGATCTGAAGAGAGTGAACAGAACAAAGAACATCTCAGCGAATGCCAGGGTGAAGAAGTAAGAAGGACAAAACCAGACAAGATAAGCTCAAGTGAAGACCAGTGTGAACAGATGGGGGAAGAAAGGCCACACCCCACCACCACCCTCGAAGCTCTGATGCCATCTAAGCCCACTCCACCCCTGCCCAGAATTTAAAGGGGAGAAAGACAGAAGGGGATAAATCATGAGTTTAACCTGAAATGGGCTAAGATGAAGCTTCTGACTAGATAGAATGGTGATCACGAGCCACAATCGTAGAAAAATTAAGAAAGTCACCTTTCTCTTCAGCCTGAGTTTGTAACATGAGAGCCACACCTGAAACCTACAAAGAGGAGAGAACAAGAAATAAAGGAAGAGGGGCAGTGTTGTATGCGAGGGATGGTGTGGGCACAGGGGGAGGCCAGTAGCCCCTCACTTAGGCTGAAACAGGGAAGCAGACCATAGCACCAAATGACCAGATCTTAACTCTCTCCAAAAAATTTTTGGAAAACTAAGGGAGAATGCTGGAGGTCCCATGGGACATGAGGTGGAAACAACAATCATTCCATTTGAATATTAAAGGATTGGTGGCTCTGGAAGTCTAGAGGTCTTGAGAACACCTAGGGTGGGGCCAACTGGATCTTACATGCAAATGGGAAAACAAACGACAGGGAGCCCTGGGCACCCCTCCAGTGCAGTGATTCTCAAGAGTTGGGAAGGGAGAGGTACAATGTAGAGGGGTTGGTAAAAAGGAAGCATCCATCTTTGCAGGGTATGATTTACATTCCTCAGACACAGTGAAGTGAGCAAAAGCTAAGGGAAAAAAGTCATGTTTCACAGGCTTCAAAGGAGATGGGAGATCTCCCTTTCCTATCCTGCTAAAAGTCTGGAGAGTTAGGCCTAGAGACAGAATGGGAAGGAGGAACCTGCAAGAATATTTACCTGGTGTTATGTGGGCTTGGCTTCAATGGGACATAACAATTCAACTCAATGGGCCATAGCAATCAAAAGCAAAGAGAGCAAAATTCCTCTGTCAGCAGCTATAGGTAATGCTGGTCATCTGAAGATCAAAATGAACAAGATGATATGAATGAGACAGGAGAAGGAAGGGCTGTATTTGCTCCTGAACGGGCAGGGCTAAGACCTACTCACTAAAATTCCCTTCTTACCAAACAAGCTGCTGCAGGCCTTCTATGTATCTGCTGAAATTAACTTTCATAATACGCTATTAAAGTTAATAATTTGTAATTCCAAAAGTTTAATACTCCTTCTCACTCAAGTAATTATAAATAAACATGAATTATATGTAAGGTCATATGCAATGAGTAATAGGAATATATTTTAAAAAGCTATTTAAATACAAATTGCTAAGCATTTTTCCCCTAGGGTGACTTTTCTGAACTTGGTAGTAGAGCTATCCTTAGATCCAACTTTCATTAGATCCAACTTTCATTGTCACCTTTTATAGAAGAATGCATTGTATAATGGCAAAAATAAACATACCAGTTTTACTAGGTGAATAGCATAACTCATCTTACTATCTATACCTGACTTCTTTAATGTTCAATAAAACAATATAATTAGTTTCTAGAACATATGCCATAACTTACATCCAGCTGAGTGTTTTCCTCTTCAAAAGTCATCTTCTTGAAAGCTATATAATCATCGCAATGACTCTGACATTGGTCAAAGTTAATTTCAGAACTCTGTTTTAAGAATAGCTGTCAGAGCTCGAGGCATGGTTTTGTTTTTTTGTTGTTTTTTGTTTTGTTTTGTTTTTTTAAACATCTTTATTGGAGTATAATTGCTTTACAATGGTGTGTTAGTTTCTGCTTTATAACAAAGTGAATCATTTATACATATACATATGTTCCCACATGGTTCGTTTTGTTTTTTGGGGGTTTTTTGCGGTACGCGGGCCTCTCACTGCTGTGGCCTCTCCCGTTGCGGAGCACAGGCTCCGGACACGCAGGCTCAGTGGCCATGGCTCACGGGCCCAGCCGCTCCGCGGCATGTGGGATCTTCCCAGACCGGGGCACGAACCCGTGTCCCCTGCACTGGCAGGCGGACTCTCAACCACTGCACCACCAGGGAAGCCCCCCACATGGTTTTTTATATGTCACCTGTGACAGGAAATCTTTAGCTTTTGAGGTCAATTTATATTTGTAAAAAGCAAAAAAATTTCTCAGATCCATGATCAGTAATACAAGTAATTAAGACATTCATAAAATGATATTTTTATATGGATCATTAATGGCCCTGCTGGCAATTCAAAAAAAAAATGGTGATTGTAAATGTGTTATCAGTGTTTCAACAACCTCCCAAGAGTTTACCGTGGAGGACAGTCCATTTAGATGTCATCTTGCTTAGGTAAGCTTTTTGGAGTGCTCAAAACTTAACATACATCCTATGTTGCTATGCCTGTGACAGTCAATGAAACCAATATGAAAATCGAATCCAAGCATTCTCCTCTTTAGCTGGGGCCCAATGCTAGGATTTACCTGGCTGGGTAACCATCATATCCCTAGGGAGACTGTCCAGAAGCACAGCATGAACTATATCAGCCAACAAGTTAGGCACAGTGATTAAAAAGACAAACAAATACTGTCATGGTCTCTGCTGAAAGAAGAACTCAATCCACCAACAGCCCCGCAAAGGCACGTAACCGGAGACCTCAGGGCTGAATGATGCCTGTGCTGAGAAAACTCAAAAAAACCACCACCTCAGAATACTGGAGTTCAGGCTAGCTACATAGGATATCTGACTCTGGACCATCACAGAAACCAACAGCCCAGGGTCTAGGTGACAATGCCACTTTATCTCATTCAGAACTGTGGTCTTTTCACATCACTGTCTCTTTAGTAAACATGTGTTGTTCGAAAAAGTCAGCTTATTACTTTCAGTTTCAAAAATTTAGCTATGTTTAATCAAGCAAGACAAGTGTACAGCTTCTCACGTCTGTTTTTTAAAAGGCCTACTTTTTAGTGGCACCTTACAGGGACATCCTTATCCCTCAGAGACTTCTGCTAGATTACCAGGCTTAGACTGCAAGACCTAAATAGTTTTGTTCTTCCACAGTAGGATCTAGGCTTTATATCCCCAATGATGCTGAATTTGGAAAGTCAAGTATAAGTATGTCTAAGTCAGACTGGGATATAGAACCAATTAGGAAAACATGGACCTACACACAGAGGGACATAGCAAGGTGAAGAAATCAACACCGTCATCTCTGTTTTAATTATTTTTGATGAAAAACATGAATGATTTTTCTCACCCTATTTAAAAGGCTATTTTAGAAATAATGCCATTTGCAGCAACACAGATGGACCTAGAGAGTATCATACTAAGTGAAGTAAGTCAGAAAGAGAAAGAAAAATACCATATGATATTACTTGTATGTGGAATCTAAAATATGACACAAATGAACTTATCTACAAAACAGAAACAGACTCACAGACATAGAGAACAGACTTTTGTGGTTGCCAAGGGGGAGGAGGGGTGGGGGAGGGATGTATTGGGGGTTTGGGGTTAGCAGATGCAAACTATTATTTATAGAATGGATAAACAACGAGGTCCTACTGTATAGCACAAGGAACTATATTCAATATCCTCGGATGAACCATAATGGAAAAGAATATGAAAAAGAATGTATATATGTATAACTGAGTCAGTTTACTGTGCAGTAGGAATTAACACAACACTGTAAATCAACTATACTTCAATAAAATAAATTTTAAATTTTTTAAAATTTTAGATAAATGATAATAAATAAAAAGCTATTTTAAATGGTTTAGAAACATTGGTAAATAATTTCTCCCCAGATAATTTTTTAAATGTATTCTCTAAAAGAATATCAACTGTCATAACTATGAAACAAATTCCTCAACAATTCTCCTTTCTATTACTTCACTTTTACTTTTCTGCTTTTCCTTGTTTTTAGTTGCTGCTTAAAATTTGCCTCCAAACGAACTTCTAGAGACATCTTACCATATTAGATTCTGCTAAAATGTTAGCAGATTACTCATTACTCAGACTACTAATTTCTTTGCTCTGAAGATCTAGATCATTTTTTAAAATGAGATATTTCGGGCTTCCCTTGTGGCGCACTGGTTGAGAGTCCGCCTGCCGATGCAGGGGACACGGGTTCGTGCCCCGGTCCGGGAAGATCCCACGTCCCGCGGAGCAGCTGGGCCCGTGAGCCATGGCCGCTGAGCCTGCGCGTCCGGAGCCTGTGCTCCACAATGGGAGAGGCCACAACAGTGAGAGGCCCACATACCGCAAAAAAAAATAAAATAAATAAAATAAAATAAAATGAGATATTTCATCTATGAATTTGAACAGTTCTTCTCCAGGACAGTTCTCTAACAAAATTTGCCCATTTTAAACACTATACTAATTCACATTTCTTTAGGTCATTTATGCAATTTTAAAATTTATGCAATTTAAATTAATTCTTTAGTATTCTGAACCTAGACTCACCTATAAAGCCAAATTAGGAGCCCTAACTCAATAGTGCAAATGTCTTTGTGTCAGCTCTACACAGAAAGTGGAGATTTCTTCCTCATAATATAATATCAAAGTGTTGCTGCCAAATCCAAGCAGAACCTTAGATTTGCAAAAAGGATCTTATTCCATTGTGATCTGATGTAGAAAGGATGTAGAACCAGAAAATGTGTCTCAACAGCAATTCTCCAAGAGGGTCTAGGAGAGTCATGCTTTGTGAAGAGACACTTAGAGAATGAATGGCTGGTCCTTCTTCAGGCCCTCTGGTGCCTAGTCTACCAGGAATTAACCGTTCTGATCTGAAAAACCAAACACTAGTAAACTTACTGAGTACCTTCTATGTGTTAGTCATGGAGCTTGACTTTAGGAACAAAGAGGCCTGATGGGAAGTTGGTGTCATTGATAAAGGACCTACTATGTGCCAGGCACATTACACATGTTAACTCATTGAGTGTTCACATCGGCCCCGGGAAGGATGGTATTTTATCCCCTTATACAAAGAAAGGAAAGGCAGCCAGGTTGGGAAAAGGAGTTACCCAAGTTTGTGGGTTGAGTTGTGTCCCCAAAAAGCACATGTTTAAGTCCTAACTCCCAGTACCTGTTAATGTGCCCTCATCTGGAAATAGGGTGTGTGCACATGTAACCAAGTTAAGATTAAATCATCCTAAATTAGGTAAGTCCAATGACTGGTGCCTTTATAAGAAAAAGGGGAAGGAAATTTGTATATAGAGACATGGAGAAGAAAGCCTTGTGACAACCGAGGCAGAGATTGGAATAAAATATCTACAAGTCAAGGAACACCAAGGATTGCTAGAAGTAACCAGAAGCTGGAAGAGGCAAGGAATGATTCTTCCCTGAAGGCTTCAGAGGTAGCATGGCTCTGCCGACACCTTGATTTTGGCTTTCAGCCTTCTAGCCTCCAGAACCGTGAGAGAATAAATGTTTGTTATTTTAAGACACGCAGTTTGTGTAATTTGTTTTTGGCAACTCTAGGACACGTAAACACCAGCATCACACAGCTGGTGAGCAAAGGTGCTGGAGTTAGATCTCAATTGCCTCTACCCAAATATCAAGCATAACACATAGTCCATGATACCAAGGAGGGTTTTTATTGCCACCTGATTCCCAACCCTACTCAGGGCTGCTCCAGGCTTCATCAGCTGAATATAAGTACTAAGCTAGCTGAATTCAAGGTAAGAAGGGTTACAGGTACCCAAACTCTGTGTTATTGGCACTCAGAATTGATACATGGGGAGTTGTATAGAGTGACAGAAAAATGCTAAAGAGCCGAGTCCAGAGGCCAAAAGTGATATTGACCAGAAAAGGGATAGGGCAAGTCATTTCACCCCTTTAAGCCTCAATTTCCTGCTCTGTCAACGGTCAGACGACATATTCCGTGTGATTCCAGACAACTGTGTAACCAGTTGGCTGGATCCACCATGGGCTGTTTTTATTTTCACTTTTGCTTCTTTGTTTGGTGTGTAAGTTTTATTTTGATTGTACCTTTTTTTTTAATGTTTTGCCATTAGATTGGTCACATCCACAGTTAAAGTTTTC